CGCCCTCGCACACTCCTCTCCCACCGCCATCCATCCATCCATCCGTCCTGTCGGCACCTCGCCCGCCCGGCGCACAGAGGGGCGCGCACTGCCGCAGGCACCCCGGCACCCCTACAACATGCTGCCGGCCGCCGGCCCGGCATGGACCCCAGCAGCGCCTGCTCGGCTCCTCTCCGCTGCTGACTTCCCTCTGAGGTTTGCGGCAGGTAGCGGGGCGGACGGTTGGAAAGTGCAATAGGAAAAGCGGAGAGGAAGGAAAGGAAAAAAAAAAAGGCAAGGAAAAAAAAAGGGAAAAAAATAGGCAAAAGCCATCAAGCCGGCCAAGACCAGCTTTGGATCTCAGTGCAGGTATTTCTGCTGCTGTGTTCATCCCTTGCCGCCTACGACCCCGGTTTATTTTGTGTTTTCTTTTTTTAAAGGAAAGAAAAAAAGAACGAAAAGGAGAAGTCGAACTCTCAAAGGGTTACTATGCAATTGCGACTGATTTCTTGGTTTTTTATCACTTTGAACTTTATGGAATACATTGGCAGCCAGCACGCCTCCAGGGTACGGCGACAGGGAAGAAGTAAGTGCGAAGTGATTTATACTTTGATAACTTCTGCTTCCTCTCGTTGTGCTGTTCACCTGTCCAGTGGGTTCCTTGTGCCCTCGGTGCCTTTGTGAAGGTGCTAGGAAGCAAATCCCGCGCCCGCGGCGCGGCAGAGCGGATCTGCAGGCAGTTTCACTGAGTTGGAGGGATGAAGGCATTTTTTGATCTCTTTTTGCTCTTCTCTCTCGCCTCACCGGGATGAGCAGAGCCGGCTCCGGGAAGACCTGCGTCTGCTCCTTTGTTTTGATGTCTGGTAAACGGGAACGTCCTTTCTTAGCTCTTTCCACTTCTCAACGGGAAAGCTCGATGACACGACAGGTAACTTTTTATGCCGTGATGCCCTAAGCGGCATTCTCTACCCTGGTCACCATTTCGCGACCTAGGGGAGGACGGAAAGAGAAGCCCCGACCCCAAGAACCAGCAGTACAGATTACCGCTATAGGTTAAG